GTACTTCTATTCCGTTTAGTTTTCACGTGTCTCCGTCGAGGCCTGCTGGGCTTTATTATATGTCTAGAATAAAGACGAAAGCTGTGGTGCTCCACTGTTTCCCTTTTTCCTGTGTGATTTTATCAAGATTTATCTTATCCACGTTTTATATATATATATATATATATATATATATATATATATATATATATATATATATATATATATATATATATATATATATAATATGCGGGTGTGTGTAGTGTGTGTAATAATAATTAACGGTTCATTGAAAAGGTTCTGCAGCCCGATTGCTGAAAATATGCATTTGACAAAAATGACTTATTACATACAAAGACATGGGGGTAGATGGGTCGTTTAACAAAAAAGCATTCATTACTAAAAGGAGAAGGAACGTGAATTGAACATACAAATTATTAAAGTTTGCAGTTTATGACCTGGACTGGGGATAGATCACTATCCTCTAACTACCGCCCAATCAGTCTAACATCAATAGTAGGCAAATTACTGGAAGCAATCATTTCAAACTATTCGAAATCACCTGGAGAAGCACCAATTGATCAATGATTCCCAGCATGGCTTCACAAGCGGACGTTCTTGCCTAACTAATCTATTAACATTCTTTTCATCAGTTTTCGAATCGGTGGACGAGGGGCACAATTATGATGTGGTATATCTCGACTTTAGCAAAGCCTTCGACAGAGTCCCCCACGAAAGACTAATTAGAAAGGTAGAAGCTCATGGCATCAAAGGTGACATCCTTAAATGGATTAGGGCGTGGTTACAGGACAGGAAACAGCGAGTGAGCATTAACGGCACTAAGTCCCATTGGAGCAACGTCACAAGTGGAGTTCTCCAAGGCTCAGTACTTGGGCCATTATTATTTATTATATTCATAAACGACATAGATATCGGCATTGACAGCAACATAAGTAAATTTGCTGATGACACTAAAATAAGACGTGTTATCAAATCTGACGAGGACTCGGCAAAACTACAGGAAGATCTAAACAAATTTTTCGAATGGTCTGAAAAATGGCAGATGAAGTTCAACGTCGACAAATGTAAAGTACTCAGTATAGGAGATGTAACAGGGAAACCAGATACCAGATGAACAACGATGCCATAGAGAAATCCGACTGCGAGAGAGATTTAGGAGTAATGATAAGTAGGAACCTTAAGCCAAGTAAACAATGTGTTTTTGCTTGTAACAAGGCTAATAAAGTACTTGGGTTCATACAAAGGAGTGTTGGTTACAAGACTAGCGAGGTCATCCTAAAACTGTATCTTGCTCTTGTGAGACCACACCTGGATTACGCAGTTCAGTTCTGGTCACCGTATTACAGAATGAATATAGAATCCTTGGAAAGAATTCAGAGGAGAATGACAAGACTAATCCCGGGCATTAGGAACCTTGAGTATAGAGACAGGTTAAAGCATCTTAATTTGCACTCCCTTGAGAGACGTAGAGCGAGGGGCGACCTGATAGAAGTGTATAAGTGGAAGGCAGGGCTAAACAAAGGGGACATTACAAAGGTACTCAAACTATCCAACCAGGAGCGAACTCGTAACAATGGTTTTAAATTAGACAAATTTAGATTTAGGCGTGAAATAGGTAAGCACTGGTTTGGAAACAGAGTAGTGGATGGATGGAACAAGTTACCAAATATCATTATTAACTCGAATACGCTGAATTGCTTCAAACATAGGTTGGATGCTCATATGAGCAATAGGGGTTGGGTGTAAACGGGACTGCCCAGTATGGGCCAATAGGCCCGCTGCAGTTTCCTCCATTCTTATGTTCTTGCCGTACTGTGTGAAGTCACATAGGCCATGTGGTTCAGTAACATGTCCTCGGGTGTTGATATGAAGGTCCTCACGTGGTCATGGAGACACCATGTGGTGTGGGTTGGTGTCACAGTACCTCACTCTGCTTGGTGGTGTTGTGTTATCTCTCGTAGTCAGGTGTAAAGCCGACCCACTGTTGTTCCCAGGGTGGACTGGTTAACACCGCCTGGTCAGAAAATGGTGGTCGGTTCTCAGGGGTGCTTAATTCACTGCAATGGTGGGTCACTGCTCTCCCTGGTACGGTCTAGTGCTGAATTCACTGGATTAAACACTTCAACACTGATCCCACATCTTTTCGAAACGAAATTGTCACTTTTGATTATGTTGATATCCCGTTGGTGAGGATGGGTCGGTGAGAGGGACTTTGGGAATGGGCCGAACATTGGTCAAGGTGGGCAGCAGGAGCAGCGCCTGATAGGTCTTCACCCTCTGGTGGTCAAGAATGTAGTTAAGGTGTGTGTGTCACTAGCCATTTGATTAACAGAATTGTATCAATAGGACGCTTATGGGCAGTGCTTTAGTAGCTTGAAGACCATGAGCAGTACCTTTGGGAAGAGTGTGGGGGGGGGGTATTGTTAGTGTAGCAGGTGAGTGGGAGGGGTATTGTTATCAACATTGCGTCACAACACACTAGCAGATTATTAGTTATTTGATAGTTTTTTTCCCTGCCGTTATTGACGTTTACGTGCAGTGTGGATGGATACATTGCTGTGTGTAGCTGTGTGTAGGTCAGCCCATTGAGCGTCAGGTGTCACCTTGCAGCTGTTATACTAAGCACGAATTATTGGCTTGTTTATTGCTTCGTGTTTCCGATTTGTGCACTTTCGGGAGACGTTGTTGGGCTCTCGTAAACCGAAGTACCTAAACTCGCTAGCGTGTAGGCGACAGGTACAAAATATGTAAAACTCCCCCTTTGTCGTTTTTAGTTGTTCAACCTAACTTTCCAGACGTTTATATTATGTGAAGGCTCTTGAAATATAAAAAAAATAATCTGATACATTTATATGTTTGGGTGTGTTAACTTATGTTTCGTAATAGGCAAAACTGTACCAGTCCACACTGAATTTACCACCCAGTCTAGTTTGATTAATAATAAAAGGTGCGCCTGATGTTTGAGTTACTAAGACTGAAGACACCAGTTATGGAGGTCATTATTCCTATAACTGAAGGTATACCAAGACTGCGTACAATGATTTGTCAGTTTGATAAGGATAATTTAAAGTTGCTTAATTTTGTTGTTAAGGATAGGAAAAATTTAGTAATTAAAACTAATGTGGAGTCTGCTGTGGAAGATGAGATTTCTGGACCGTGAGATACAGTAGATTGGTATCTAAATTAAGTCGCACACATCTAGGAAGTAAAGATAATTATTATTAAGATTTTTCATCCTTTTTCGTGGTCACATCAATAAGATTGATTGACTGTCCGTGGAAACTTCATATATTGCCTAAAGGTGAAAGTAAATCTATAGTGAACGGCACAAGTACAGTATCGGAGGGCACTTAACTCTCTCCCAAGTTATTTTTATTGTAATTGATAGTTGTGCCCAACACCTGCAAGATATAAATTCCCGCTACTCGTGCAGTAAAAAAAAAAAAATGTCCTATCTATATTGCCACACATTCAGGAAATCTAGTACTCATAGGATTAATTCAGTATATGTGTACAAGTGTGCGGTCAGTAAGAAGAATGTTGCCCCACATCTACACATAATTAGGGTGGATGGATAGAATTAAATTTAACCACACTATCGCCAATGTTAGTTGGATAGCTTCAATATTACCATCGTATGTAGACTAAATGTGGCTATACGCAAAGTGGGTTTGGCTGGTTGACCATCCCTCAAGTTTTGGTTACGAGATTATTACCCTTTGACCCATGGTTCTGTGACATGGTTTAGAGGGGGAAAAGAAATATCACATGAGGAATTAATGAGGCTGAAGAGATAGATAGTGGTGGTTGTAGCCAGGAGTGTGGAGGGGCGTTGCACAAGGCGGGTGTCCAGCAGTAGAACTTGCCCCAGGAACCACGCTCACCTCCACTTGGCATTTACCCGCTTTACTTTCTTCGGCCCCTGACTCGTGGCAGACGCCGCCGCCGCCGCCGCCGCCATCCTCTCGTCACTCTAGCGGTGGACACCTCCCTCCCTGGCGGTGAACTGTGTCTTGCGGGACTCCGGAGTCTTTTATGTATTAGTTTTGTGAACTGTTGGGAGAAAGTGTTTTCAATCGAGTGTGTTACTCAGTGTCTTGTGGTACCAAGTCTTCGTATGATTGGACTGATCAGTCCTGCTGAAACCACCATTATATATATTTTGTGGAACATTTACTTATATACTGTGGTTTTAGAACTCAAGAAACACCTATTAAGTGCTCCATATTTTTCTTAGAAATGCTCAGAACGCCCTGGATCAACGTGAATCAAGATTTATACATTGTATTACGAGTGAACGTGTCGTGTGGCACTGTTTTATAACATCAGGAAGTATAGCTCTCCGTGTCTCCCCAACTGATAACCAAATTATCGCGGCAGATGATAGCAGCTTGCTGATAAAATGATTCTGTGATTAAGTGACAGATGTACCCAAGTTTTTACTAGTCAGGAGAGTGGCATTTTAAAGTGACTTCGTGAGGGAGTGTGCCGCCAGTTGTAAGGATTAGGTGTCTTGGAATTCTTGGGTCAGCAGGAAGGACTGCCCCGCCCCGCCCCGCCCAACCCAACCCAACCCAACCCAACCCAACCCCACCCCACCCCGCCATCTTACCTGGCCTATCCTCAACGTACTTCACCGTTTGTTCTTTGAAACACTTGGCAAGTGGTTAGCTACATGCGACACCATTGAGGGAAGGTGAAGCGTGTGTATAGGGCGAGGCATGTGGTGATAGTGTGGAGCATCGGCAGCAACAAGCCCTAGTTTCCCACCATACCAGTAGCGGGCACCAGTAGGACCGGCCCAGGTGAAGGTCTCGAGTGTGTAGGGCTTGGGTCACCTCCCATACTTCTACCTACACCCTTCCAGGACACACTTATACACACCCTCTCCATCAAACGTTTCTTATACAGTGCATTTGTTATAATACACTTATTTCTACGCACTGCCCTCTGGCCTCGAGGTCACTTAGACACTTGCTATTGTGGAAAGTGTTGGTGTCAAGGCGACGCAGTGAACAAGTTTTAAGTTTAATGTGGATAAGGTTAGAGATTGATCTGGGTCGGGGCTGTGACTGTGAACAGGAGTAAGAGCAGTGTTGGGAGAGTGAAGGTGAACTCGTCATTGTTGCACTGGTTCAAACTGCTGCCCCCTTGACCACAGTCTGGTCCACTTCGCCACCTGGATTATTCACGTGTGTATGTGTGTGTTTGTTTGTAGGAGTTGTAGTGAAAGTAGGCGTGGTCATAACGATATTAATACTTGAGAAATCAACCTTGGAGTGACTAAGGTCGTGGTAATGTCGTCACTGAGTTTGGCGTACCCGTGGCTGGTGGACGCCTACCCTGAGCTAGTGAGTGGGTCTGTGGGCAACCCTCTGGCTGGCCATCACCTGGGCAGTACCCTTTGGGGCAGCTTCGACTCCCTCTGCCCCATGGCATACCCACTCCCAGACTCCCTCTGTCTTGCCCCGTGCCTACATCCTGGGTAAGTGCCTTGTATATGAGGTTGAGTCTTGTGTAAAGATTAATGCTAACGTGAATAGGTTGCCGCAGAAGACAAATAAAATATCGAGGCTTCACTTGATCTAATGTAGTGAATAGTGTTACAAGATGAAAGTCTTCATTTAAGACTGGCATCAGTCCTAGCTAGCAGTGAAAAGTTGAATTATTATTTTTATTGAATAAAAAGATGCTATTTTTCGTCAAGTAGGAAAACAAAGTTTAAGCCGATGTGTAATTGTCAAGAGTTTAGGTATTCCTGTGGCTGCCAAGTGTCACTTGACAGGCAAAGGTGAAGTAAGATAAGTTAATGGTGTCGATTATCCACTCATCTCCTTACTAAGAGAAGCCGTTATGATCAGGTAGTGTATTGGCCAGAGGGTTTGTTCGTCTCCGGCGGTTATCATTTATAGCTTATGTAAACAATATAATGCTGATTCTTTTGATACCTCTAAGTCGATCAGTTTACCTCTGTACTCTCTAATTAGTAGATATGAAAATTGTAGTGATGTATTGTCACTGAAGTTGTTGTTACTCCTTTTGTGTGTGTATATATATATATATATATATATATATATATATATATATATATATATATATATATATATATATATATATATATATATATATATATATATATATATATATCACACACACACACACACACACACACACACACACACACACACACACACACACACGTGATATCCAGACTGTTTACCTTCGTAAACTCGACTCTCCAAAAAATCTCTATTTTAATTTTAGCAAACTTTCAGAAGCTGTAAATTATTTTAAATGTTATATTCTCTGGTTAAAATGCTCTGATAATTGTAATAAGTGTTATGACTGACCCTTAGCTCCTTGGGGGTGTTGCAAGGTGGTCGCTGCGTCATGTTGTCGTGAATACAACTTTCACAAAGGCTCTTGTTGCCCTCTGCCCGCTGGCCCTGTACTGTATATTTAGATATCTGATAGTTATTGTTACTTGGCCCTTTCTTTTCATTTTTTTCGAACGCTTGTTCTATCTGTCCTTAAAGTTAAATCTTGTTGATTCTGCCATTTCATCAAAATTTGTTGCATATCATTGGTTAACAATTTGGGTTTTCCCTGTATCTCTCGGATGCGGTATATCAGGTGTACATTGCTATTTGCTCTGTGAATTGAAATGCTCGGAGGGGGGGGGGGGTTAATCTTGTGCGTTGAGCCTTTACCAATATTATCAAATGGTTTGAAGTGTTTCGTGAATATATTCACACACTCGTTGAACCTCGGACTAAGCTCTCACATTTCTCCATAATATAAGAATTTGGCAAATGATATCATAAAGAAAATAGTCTACAATTATCGGAAATTTTCGACAAGTACTTTAATAAACATATTCGTATTAGTCATCCAGTGAGGTTATCATTGTATTAGTCACATACTGATTATACCATAGTGTTTTAGCTTCCTAGTGATGGTACTGCTACCCTAGTCTGAGTGTGTTTAAGGATAACTGGAAACGTGTCCTCCTCCTCCTCCTCCCCTCTCCTTTCTTCCGTCGTTTTCTCTGCTTTTACATACTCTCATCGTGAGTACAGGAAGACGACGTTGGTTGGGTTGCGGAGGAACGCGTGTGATGTTGGTTGACAGGGCAGGGGAAGTACGTGTCTGGGCAGCTGGAGAGTTTCCAGTGATGAAATTGAGTGTTGCCATACCGTTTGTCACCACCCTCGCCCTCACCTGCTGCAGCTTGTTGACCAACCCTAACTCAACCTTATTACATGCCTGCCCGTGTTTTTGTTTTGTGCCATCTGTCATAGTTTGTTTTTGTGTGTTGTAGATTGTCATACCACCACACATGTAAGATCTTTTAAGTCTGTTTAGTTATTTAATGTGATATTTAAACATTAAGTAAAATTATTATTGTTGGAGGTTAAGCATGAGAATATGTTTGGGCAGTTGAGACGGTTGTGACGTGTGACAAATTTTGTGGCATGTGTTTAGTTTGTCACTCTAGAAGGGAACTCTGCTTGTTTGTACACAAAATTAGTGAGTGATTTTTCCTGCTGCTCATGCCAACTTCTACCACCTACCACTCTTCACCCTTGCACCTTTATAAACACCGCCATAAAAAAGGGAACGACAAGACTAAGTTTTCTCTTTTTTATATATTTTCTCTTGATGTGGGAGAGGAAGGCGGCAATCAACGGAGCGGGAGAGATTTTGTAGCTGGGGAAAAAGTGCAACACACGTCTGATTAAAATATAAATACCTGTGGGGGGTTGACTACCCATATTCTTGGCAGGTTTTGTCTGTTGCTGCTAAGGTCACCAAAATACAATGGACACAGTGTACTGCGTTGCAGGTTTTCATTCAACTTTGTTTACAGCTTAAGATTTGCACTTAACCCGGAGGCAGCTACAGATTTCAAGGGATGCATTTGGACAGTTACATAGGATGTCATGATTTTTTCCATCATGTTTGGTAAGTTTTTTGACGTATCTCTCTACATTAAACACACCTGTCAAAGTTGCCATCTCGTACCTGGTGTGTGCTGCACTACCTCCCTCAGGCACATTTGGGAAATTAGGCCGGAACGTTCTCGGCTTGCCACCGTGAGTGGTAATGGGGTTCTTTGGTATTAATGGCTTAATGTTGTGAAGGCGACCAACCCTCTAGCCGCCTTGCTTCTGCCTCCCTCCTAACTCTCACCCTCTTCCCCTATGCCTCTATGTATTTTACAGTTCAGAATCCCAGTGGGCAGAGGCATGGTTTCCGTTTTTCTCCTACGAAAACTGATCATATTCGGGGCCTCCTTTCGGATTCTGACATACTCGCATTTCTATGCGTACACAGGATTCTATGTGTGGATGAGGCGCACTTCCTTGGGCTGATGATTGACAAGAAACGCACTTGGGTTTCCCAGCTTCGGTCTGTAGACTTTGTATCACCGTGGACTGAATGCCCTCCGTGTGTTGGTTCACATTTCATGGGGAGCTGACCAGTTTGTCCGGTGAAGTTTCCGACAGTTACACCTTGAACTTTTCTCGAGGCGCACTTCTACGCTTCACTGAAATAAAAGCTAATTATCAGCAACAGATGCTGCATCTGGTGCTTGCAATCTTTACTAATGGCTCTCAAGTCTGATGCGGTCTTAAGTCTTGGGGTAGTCTGTCCAATAATTATAATTACCCCAAACAGTATGTTATCTACAGCTGCCTTAATTTGTATTGCCGGGTTGATGTTGATTTTCCTGACCTTGAAGGTGTTTATTACCCCCCGAGAACATTTTTTTTTTTCAATTTAAGTGACTCGGGGAGTGTCCTTGAAGTTCTAAAGTGTCTTTCAACCCACTCCACCCTCTGGTTCTTGAGACACTGGAAAGGTCCTTCCCTATAGGCACTGTAATACCTAGCTAGGCGCTTCACATTACACAGGAGGTGGCGAATCTGAATCTGCTTTACCAACAGACAGTGAAGATTACCCGGGGGGACTCTGAATTAATTTTCAGGTTAATTTACGGCGAATCATGCACACGGACGGGATCTCGCCACCGGGCTTGCACCGCTGTGAGACGTTTAGCTAACCTCCAGCACGCCCGTACCTACAAAACTTATAACGGTAGTAGGAGAAACGTGCCGCACTCGCATTGTGTTAGCCGAAAAAAAAAATTGGTGCTATTGTTTTGATTGTACAGTATACGGATGTAATAGCTATTGCGGTAAGGGATGTATCAGGAAAGCAAAAACAGGGTGATGGAAAACTATACAGTATTGTATTTTATGTAAAAGTAGAGCCATACTTCATGTTCAGTACACTGTCAAAAGCGGAAATGTTTGCGTTGTGATGGTACTGTACTTGGTTTCAGTTAGGAGTTGAGAGAGGAAGGGTAGGGTGTTGGCGGCCTTGGTTCGAGGGTTGCCTTACTGTGGCTCGCCTGATGACAAACACACACCTCATTGGTCCCCGACCTGCACTGCCATGCCACGACCCCCCCCCCCTCTCACACCACCACCCACCTGCCCCTCACTCCACCACCCACCTGCCCCTCACTCCACCACCCACCTGCCCCTCACTCCACCACCCACCTGCCCCTCACTCCCACCACCACCCACCTGCCCCTCACTCCACCACCACCCACCTGCCCCTCACTCCACCACCACCACCACCCATCTGCCCCTCTGTCCACCACCACCCACCTGCCCTGCTCTCCACCACCACCACCACCACCACCACCCATCTGCCCCTCTGTCCACCACCCACCTGCCCTTCTCTCCACCACCACCACCCACCTGCCCTCTCCACCCACCTGCCCTTCTCTCCACCACCCACCACCACCACCCACCTGCCTGCTCTCCACCACCTGCCCCTCTTTCCACCAGCACCACCCATCTGCCCCTCTCTCCACCTCCACCCACTTGCCAGTCACCACTACCACCCACCTGGCCCCCCCTCACCACTACCACCCACCTGGCCCCCCTCACCACTACCACCCACCTGGCCCCCCTCACCACTACCACCCACCTGGCCCCCTCACCACCACCCACCTGCCCCCTTCACCACCCACCTGCCCCCCCCTCACCACCACCTGCCCCCCTCCTCACCACCCACCTGCCCTCCTCACCACCACCCACTTGCCCCTCCCTCACCACCACCCACTTGCCCCGTCACCAGTACCACCCATTTTCCCCCTTTCACATACCACCACCCACCTGTCCCCCTCACGCCTTGGCTTGAGGAGGAAGAATAAATGGTGGTCGTGGTGGAAATGTGATCGGTAGTTGCGTGCAGAGTGCCAGGGATAGATATTGATCACCCTTCTGTATTATTCAGGTTGGTTAGGCCTGGACCTCGGGTTTCATCCCCCCGACCTGGTCCTCCCCCTATCTGGCCATCGCTATTAGCACTATCGTGCTTTTGTTTTGTTATATTTATATTCATACTTCACTTATAAGAGAAGTCACAGGTTGATACGCCAGTTGTTATATTAGTTATTGTTGTAGT